GTCTACCGTTTTGCATCAAAAGCAACAATTGTGTGGTGAATTTTTGGTGTGGTAAACCTCAAATATATAAATAGGCTCCAGAGAAATGAGGTCTATGATATACTATGATTCATGTTAAATTTTTCCTCAAGGAACCCCAGCTACCAAGATATCACAGGGATGTTACTGGAAGATTATACAGAGGGAAGGCTCCCCAGGCTTAGCTGAGGAAGGGAAGAAATTGGTAACTATGGAAACAAATGAGGTGTGTGGGGGTGTGAGAGATTTGGTGACCAGGTGCAGGAGTCTGTTGTTCCAGAAAGAGCAGTGCTCCATTTATCAAGCCTTAAGCAGCCAGGGAGATCCATAAGGGAGTGGTCACATGGAGTGATCACTCACTAGCAAAAATGTAGTAGGAAGGGGGTTAACCCCCAATCTCCAATCGTCTATTTCACTGAGACCTGAAGACAAAAATGTAGTAGGAAGGGGATTAACCCCCAATCTCCAATCGTCTATTTCACTGAGACCTGAAGACCTACCACAAATAATTCCTTTCCTTGTTGTAAGCTTTGCCGTGCAATATATATATATATATATCTCACTCTGTTGCCCAGGGTGGAGTGCAGTGGCATGACCTCGGTTCACTGCAACCTCCTCCACCTCCCAGGTTCAAGTGATTCTCCTGCCTTTGCCTCCTGAGTAGCTGGGATTACAGGCACGTGCCACTACACCTAGCTAATTTTTGTGTTTTTAATAGAGACAGAGTTTTGCCATGTTGGCCAGGCTGGTCTCAAACTCCTGACCTCAAGTGATCTGCCCACCTCGGCCTCCCAAAGTGCTGGGATTACAGGGATGAGCTACCGTGCCTGCCCCTGTAATACTTTTATATAGATAAAAATACTTCTGGGAAGGGTAACACTAGAAGTTAAAACCCCAAGAGACTTTGGATATGATTTAGTGCCATGTTTCACTTTACAAAAGAGGAAGCTGAGGCCCAGAGAGTTCAAGCAAGAGTTATAGCAAGTTCACAGTGAGTCCAGTACTAAAACTCACTTTCAGGCTTTTCTGCTATATTGAATCACCACATATGTGTGTTCATTAACATTAAAGCAATTTGACTTCATATGCCCTTCCTGTGCAGCTGTGGTTCTGATTTAAATATCATTTCTTGAGAGCCACATAGGTTATTGACTCATGTTTCTACCTATTGCCAAAAACAACCACAGTCGTTTGGGGGAAAAAAAAAAGTTTTGCAGAGATACTTGCTATTCGGTTAATTTGAAAAGCATATCCTGGATGATTTCCCCTTACCTTAGAACTTCTTGTAAAAGATTCAGGAAGTTTCTGGCATTTTCTCCCTTTTTAACTTTTTCTTCTTTTATCCTGGAAAAGAATAGAGAGAAGATTGGCATATAATGAATGTTGAATGATGAGCAAGAATGATTTTCTTCCAAAGTCAGGGTTGGCAGCTGGTCACTCGCTGAGTGATAATAGCAATAAAAACAAGAGCTAACACTGATGGACCGTTTACCATGTGCCGCACATATTGTTCAAAATGCCTTCATTATTTGATTGAACTTATTTTATCCTTATGATTTTGCTACAAAAGGTTGAGCAATTTTCCCAGCTCTTAAGGGCCAGATCCAGGATTCCAACTACAGAATCTTCCTTTCAGAACCTAAGACACTAACCACTCAACCACACATAAATTTTTTTACAGAATACAGCTGATTTCCCTGAACTTTCTTCTTGGTGATCATTGTTACAGTTGCTCCTGTCCTCCATGCTGAAGGGTACATGTGTAATCTGGATCTCTAACATTTTATATGATATTAATTGCTTTTCTCTGATGTACAGAAATATTCAGATAAAGGAGGTCCTGGGGTTATGAGACTAAGATAAGGTGATGGAAAAAAGTCCAGGACTTCTCAAGATTGGTGACCCCAATGGCAAAAACTTTCCAATGGCACCTCTCTATTTTGTGACAAAGGAAAAGTTTATTGTGAGAAATGTTGTCTAAGAGACCAGAGACTACCCTGTACCACTTGTGTGCTATGAGACGCTGGGCAAATTACTTTTCTTCGAGAGATCTGATTGGTCAACTTCATATTCATCTTTGTGTTTTCTTCTTTCTTCAATCATTTAGGAATGTAAACATTGTTTTTCCACATGACTCTTCTTGGAGAGTAGAATAGCTAACGCTACCTGCAGATGAGAGCCAGGGCAGGCTTGAACTCTCACCTCCATGTCCCAAGTGAGCCCTCCTCTTTTTGGCTTTATGGTGGGTCAGTGCTGAATGGCAAAGCAGGCAGAGCTGCCTCCAAGACAGCTCATCGCTGGCAGGAAATCATTCTAGTTCCTGGCATTACACCTACACATTCTCTTTCATTGCCCATTTCTCCACTCCCAGTCATAACAGATTGGGGGGGTCCTTGTCCTATAGTCCGATGCAACTAGGAAGGTCTGGGGAGTGGAGACAGGGATGGGGAAAGAACCGTCAGAATGGTCCTCAGAGCTGCTTTTCAGCTAGTGAGGGATGCAGAGGTGGTCCATGGCCATAGTATTAAAGGAAATATGATCGTCATCAGCTCAGGCACCATCACTCACCCCAGGTCTCACCACCAAATACAAAAACAGCACCCATTTCCATACCTTGCCCTCTTTGTTGACACTTCCTCCTTGCTTTCTTTTCCTGTTAATCTTTTTGTACATGTTAAATAAATTTAAATAAGTTCCACTAGCATAAGCATTAAAGTGAGAGAAATTTCACTATTCAATTTACTTTGGACTGTCAGAGATGTCAGTCAGGATTGTTCAAGTAGATGAACGGTGTAGAGATGGGCTTGGGTGGGTGTCACCTGAGGACCGAAAGAGGAAAGGGCAGAAGGAGAAATCAACACCCAGATCATCAACCAAAACCCCCATCTTTTACGTCACAAGAGTCTCTCTTTCCCATTTTCTAAGAAGGATTCAGCGTGGAAGAGGCCATAAAAGCATGTTTCTTTGGCATTTTTAAGTCTAAATAACGTGGTTGGGCTGAAAACCTGTGTCCAACACAGTTGGTTTCACCGTGAAGATGTTGAGAGTCAAACCCAGCACAGGGGCATACGCCTGCAATTTAGCTGCTTGAGGCTGAGGTGGGAGGATAGCTTGAGGCTGGAGTTTGAGACCACACTATGCAACGAAGGAAGACCACATCGCAAAAAAATAAATAAAAAAGTACAGGAGTCAAAACCACCACAGAGCCTCAGGTGTCCAGTTAATATAGAATGTGAGAATGAGACTTCCTCTCAGTTCCCCAATTCCCCCCTCCTCAGTCTCTGTCGTTTGATTCTTTGGGTATGACAACTTAGCACATAGAGTAAGCTCACTTCATGTTAGTTAAATGGAGTTATGAAATGCACAACATTGAGAATTTTGAGAAAATAGGGGCAACAAAAAGAGTAGGAAGGTACCATGCAAAAAGCCTCCCCACCTTATCCAGCTCATGCATATACATAAAACACAAGAAAGTTAAACAGAATTTCATGATATAGTTTGTAGTTTGTCTTAGTGAAAGAAATTAAATGATTTGCAGTGAATTTCAACCCGTTGGCAGAATTCATGGACCTATTGCTGTGCAGACACTGCTGCTTGAGGGCAATGGAATTGGAAATTTCCATGCACCAGGGCTCCATGGCCAGCAGATGGCGATGTTTCTCAGTTTTACAGGAAGATGCCAGGCCAGAGGCCGTTAGTTATGCAGGGCGTGTTTATCAGATGGCTGTTAAATCGGTTCAAAATCTGTAAAGGATGACAGATCAGCTCTTATTTATTTATTTTTACTTAGAGTTGATGAATTCAGTGAAATTTCATGATGGGAGAATGAACGCTGTGCCTTCGTGTTGGGGATGGGAGCAGAGGACGACCCGCATCCAAAATGGTTGGGTAGCTGCGTTTTATCTCCCTCAGTTGCTTTTTAAAATGAGATTCTTCTCGCGCTGCCTTCTGGCAGCCTGGATTTAGTCAATTGGGACCAAAGGGCACACCGGCAGCAGTTTTGTTCATTTTCTTTTCTATTTCTTTATAAGTGGGCTTGTCTTCCCGGATCAACCACTTGGCCCGCAGATCCTGGGGCAGAGGCAAAATCTGGGTGAGGCTGGGTCAGGAGCCAGAGCAGGGCTGCTCAGAGTTGAGGAATGGGAGGGAGGAGAGCTGCTCCTAGGCTCGCTCTCAGCCACGTGGGAGAATTGGAGACGGATCCACTTTCTCCTCCCTGAGCACAGCAGCTATTGCACTGAGAGCCAGCATCCCTCTGGAAAGAGGCCGAACCATTTTAAGCAGAGGGAAAGAAATTTGTGGACTAAATTGGTCTTAAAATACTGCCTCCTCTGTGTGCTGACCCATTAAAGGACATGGCACCACCTGGGATCCAGGGTATTCAGTTTCTTGATTTGGAGGTGTCACTAGCCTACTGTGTGATGTTGAACTTGTTTTTTCGTCTGTAATATGAACACTTTGATGGAAATCTTACAACCATACTTAAAATTGTATTCTTCTGAACTAGCAACTCTTGTGATACAGGAGAATTTTTAGATGCCCAATTAAGTCAGAATATTTAGGGGTGGGACCTCGGCGTGCATCTTTTTTTAATAAGCTGTCCAGGTGATGTGAATGTTCAGCTGGGCTTGAGAACTATTGCTCTAACCAGGGGATCTCAAAGGAAAGTCTCAGGACAGCAGCATCAGCCTCACCTGGAACCTTTATTATTATTATTATTGACACAGAGTCTCTCTCTGTCACCCAGAATGGAATACAGTGGCATGATCTCAGCCCATTGTAACCTCTGCCTCGCAGGTTCAAGCGATTCTCCTTTCTCAGCTTCCCAAGTAGCTGGGATTACAGGCACCTGCCACCATGCCTGGCTAATTTTTGTATTTTCAGTAGAGACAGGATTTCACCTGTTGGCCAGGCTGTTCTGGACCACCTGACCTCAAGTGATCTGCCCCTCTCGGCCCCCCAAAGTGCTGGGATTACAGGTGTAAGTCACCACGTCTGGCCCAAAAACTTTTCAGAAAAGCAAATTATTAGTTGCCCTGATCAGAATCAGAAATTCTGAGGGTGAGACCCCAAAATCTGTTTTAACAAGCACTCAAGGTGATTTTGATGCAAGCTAACGCTTGAAACCTACTGTCGCGTTTGGGAGGATGAAACTTCCCCATATCTTTTGCATAAGTGAGGCCGGGGATTACTTCTGGGAATGGGATGTAAACACAGTGCTGTATGTCATTTCCTGGGCTAAACGTTTAATTGTTCGTGCATGACCTTCCATTTTCTCATCTGGGTAGGTTGTGTGATTTTAAATAGAAACGCAGCATGCTGGAGCTTCTGCTAATTCGGACCCCAGAGTTGCTACATGAACATCTTGTAAATGAAAGACAACAAAACAAAAATTTTTATGTTAAATAACTGAAATGTTGTGGCTGTTTGTTACTGCATTATAGCCTATCCTATCCTGATGAATGCAAGTACTAATGCTGTAGTTCTGACAATTTGGTTTGATTAGTGCTGATAAGAAGAGAAGGGACTCCCCCATCCCTCCTCAGTCACCAAACATCCATTTCACAGTTCTTCTAAGAACATATATTTAGGTTTAACATACTAGGATAATTTAAGACAAGCTTCTATATCTGGTTGTGGGTTGCACATGCCAAAAATGGGAATGGAATTGAAAAAAAAAGACTCAGTCTCATGTCCTGATGTATCCAAATATCTATATCTGGTATTATAGTGTTCAAATATTGGGGTCCGAGTTTGCATCCTTGAAAGTTCTTTCTATAGCTCCGGATTATTATGCTGATACTAAGAATTTGATATTGCTTCTTCCCATTGCAAGAGCTCAATTCTGGGAAGGCATTCTCCTTCTCTTTAGACCTTTCCTAAGTAGACTACTTTGTCTTTCTATGACAGGAACTGCACGTTTTGTGCTCCTTTACTGAGGCGAGCGTCCCTGGGCTTGTCCTCTCCCCACCATTGCTTTTTCCTTTATGTATTTATAACCATCACTCTATTAAGACTGCTTCACAGGTTGGCTACCTTCATTTCCAATTTTATATTCATTAATAGAAACTTTCTCAGACCTCTGTTTTCATCATTTCTACCATTAATCTTTCTTGACTATTATTGTTTTGTCAGACCCCATTACTGTTGTCATCAAAATCATCATCACCACCATCATGAATATTGACAGCATAGTCAACATTTATTGAAATTTTGCTACGTTGTTAGGGTCTGAACTATTGATCATTGATCAAGGCATCATGTCTTTGACCGTCCTTTTGCCACATCAGTTTGCTCTTCTGCTCTGCTTTGTAACTGTCTCTTACCTTTTCATACTTCTGCGACATGAAATTACTGCCCTGATCCAAGATCCTTTATGTATATTTTTCTTATTCCTACCTTAATTCATTTATTAAAAATTATAATGCTCTCATTTTCTTCATTAAGATATAGCCCTTAGGATCTTGATTTATAAACAGCAAATGACCAATTCTCATTCCTCTAGGGATCTCTTTGTGACTTAGTCCATTTTTAAATTGGGAGTGCTCAACAAAAGCTGCTGTTATATCTGCATGAGTTTTTCCCTCTGGAGTTAGTGTTGACGATCTCCCAAGAGTTTATTTGATTGGGTCATTAAGATGGATGAAATAACCATATTGACTGTTTAGTGAGCTGGTTATTACAGTAATCTTAATGAGAGAATTAGATCGATCCCAAGGTACTCCAAATCCTTATTTGATGATTGACCTACAAGCAATCAATTGCCCATGTTGCTCTATATGAATTCTCTGCTTCCAGAGAATTCAACCAGTCTCACACCCCACACCCCCTGCTAAACATGAACTCTACAATACTCATATACACATGTACATGCATGAGAAAACCCATGGGCAGATGCCTCATTGGAGATCAGGCTGGAACACACAAGTAAAAATGTGCAAGGGGATTTCATTTGTGTTTCCGAATGTTACTAGGACTCAGTCCAGGGAGGGCAAGAAGGGGAACTGGTGGCAGAGTGTAACCTTATCACATGATGCATGTGGTCACTGGAGCAGGGTGCTCAAAGCCTATTTGTGTGGATGTTGAAGCAGGAGGGAAATATGAAGCTTTAAAATTTACAACACACTCTAATGTTTGTGCTGCTATAGCAAAATATCACAGATGGGTAATTTATGAAGAATAGGGATTTATCTTTCACAGTTCTGGAGGCTGGGGAGTCCAAGATCAAGGGGCCTGTGTTGGTGTCTGGTGAGGGCCTGTTCCATCAATGGTACCTTCTCACTGTGGCGACCTCTCTTGGAGGAAGGCAGAAGAGAAACAAGGGGCAAACTCTCTCTGAAGACTTTTTTATGAGGACTTTACGTCTTAATACCACCAGAGTGGGGATTAAGTTTCAATGTTAATTTTGGAGGGGACATTACATTCAAACTCTCCTTCCAACTCTTCTCTTTGGGAAGTTCATCTATAAGCTGGGAATTGTGACCCTAACCCTACCAACTGTACAGGACTTGTGCTTACTAGATAAGACCTAGATGGAAAAAAAACTTTGAAAAGTATAAAGCATTGTAGGAATGAAGATACTCATACTCAAGGCCTAATATCGGCCATCAAAAGGAACTCAAATGTGGGAGATAATTTGTCAGCAATGACTAACTTAAAAAGTAAATGTTTTCTCTAATATTTTAGTAACTTCCTTGACCTCAGTTACCCAGATAATAGCCTCATATCTCACCCAAATGTTTGCTTTGCCTGTGTGCTTGCATTTTGAGTTTCCCTCTAAAGATAAAAAAGAATTTGTGTGTTTGCGTGCACACATATGTGTCTCCGATGGGCAGAATTTGGGAGTGTGTAGAATCTTGGAAGGGCACAGGGGCTTCAACTGAATGATCCAATCTGGCTTTGAAGCCATTTACAGGACTCAAAGCTCTAGACTATCCTGCTGAGACTCTCACACAGAGCAAGAAGGAGGGATGAGAAATGTCCATAAGTATTTTCACTCAAACCATGATGCAGGAAAGAAATGCCACAGACTATCAAAGAAACCACTATTGATGTCTCCTGTTTCTGAAGCGCTACAGAATTTAAAGTACTAAAATGTAAGTTTGGTCTTTTCGCATCATCTTTTATAATTGTCTTGCTTGTAAGGGGGTTTGTCCTGTTTCCCCAACTATGTTTTAATGTCTTGTTTTTTTTTTTTAACCAAAAATGCCATCCTCTGTTCCCTAGAACCTATCATTTAGGACACACGCCAGGTCTTTTTTTTCCCCTGAAAAACTTGTCCCTAAATAATTCAGTTAGTCTTAATGCATTTGCTTTTACACAACTGAGCTCTACCATGGTTTTGAATTAAACTACCTCATAGTGTAACACTAGACAGATCTCTGAATTAAGATGACAGAACTGAAGGAAACTTTGGGGGTTCTCAGATGTAAAACCTTTATTTCACTCATGAGGAAGCTGCAATCTAGAAATCTGGACTCCTTAAAATTTACACATATTTCTACCTTGACAGAGCTTAGAAAAGAGTCAGGTCCCTTGATCCCAGCCCAGGGCTCCCTCCACTATAGCATTTACTCGCAGCTCTCGTTCTGACATAAACCTGCTGTGTGGCCTCGGGCATTTCATGTGACCTCTCTTTGCTTAGCTTTCTTGTTTTTAAAAAATGAGGCTAATATAAATCTCAGTCCTTCTGTCTCAGATATGCTTTGTGAATCACAGGAGACATGTGAATTCACATTTATGTGAGTAGACCTAAAATCACTTTGAAATAACAAATTCTGTCCTAAAGTAATACAGTGTATTATTCTATTGAGATAGTCATGGACCAGGCTTGTGTGGAATCGATACTAGTTGATGCTAATGATATTGATAATGTGCATAGATGTCAGAGTGTATGTGATGCTGGTACTAGCAAAGCGAGGAATACAGCTTTAAAACTGGAATGTGAGGGCAAAGGAAAAAACAGAATACAAACCTGAACACCTTGAAATGACTCCCCATGGACCCAAGGAATACGAGAGTTAAGGAGATTTCATTACAAGGAAGTAGAGGGGCTTGTAAAACAATAGCCAATATGTGGTAGATTAAACATCTGCTGCAGACATAAATCGAATCCCACTCGGAAACAGCCGTATCCTCTGTAGAAATAACGCTGTTCATAGGAACATTATATACGGTACAACCATGGTAAGGAGAAGACACATTAACCCACTATCTTAAAGGTTTCAATCTCATTTTTTTATTTGTATTTCAGTTTTTAATCCAGCTATAGTCATTACAAAGTATTTAATGACTGACTTGCTAATTGTGTATGCCAGGATGAAGCTGAGAGAAGTTAACATACAAACTGGTCATTAACTATGTTAATGATCAAGTTCTTTGGGCTTATGACTATTATAAGCCATAATTAACAGTTGCTAACAATTTTTTTTCTTTTTAGTGAAAAACAAAGAAAGAAATATTCTTGAGGCTCAGACAGAAATAATGAATGCTGGCCTCACTGTTGTTTCTTCTATCATAAAGAACAGCTTCTGGGACAAGTTCTTGTTTTCTTAATCATTATTCGAGCTCTTCAAAGTAAATGCTGGTTCTGGTCAACTGAGCAAATAGGCTCTGTCCTGTCCTCACTAGAACATCATGAAGGGCTTATGCCTGGACCATACAGCCTCTCGGCTTCTAGAAATGTTTCCATCAATTCTCACGTGGTAAAAAAAAAAAAAAAAGAATTTAAAATGGTGCTGCAAACTGCAAGCTTGGGGCGCAATTTGCCCCGTGGAAAAACTCCTGGGCCTGATGAAGGCTTGCAAAACTTTAGCTGTGTTTGTGAAATTTATCTTTTCCACACTGTACCCTTTCTTCCCCACATGAAATATCTTATGGCCTCTCATTCTCTCTCTCATCGAAAACATTCTTTCCAGAATGAAACTAATGAACATCAGAAGATAAAAATGACCGATCAATAAAGTTTTAAACCACAGGTGAAGTCAACTAGTAGAAGGACTGGCTTTATCTCCTTGGCCTTGGAGGACAGAGCTCTAAGAAATAAGGGCAGAGTTGGTGGAAGGGCACAATTTCCTTCTGGAGCTCCATCCTCATAGGTTAGGACCCCAACACAAACTTATTAGTCCATTATAGTTCTACTGCCTAGTAATTTCTTTAAGCTTTTCTTAAAACACCTTGGCCTACTATAAAATGAGGGGAATTAAAATATTTATTTTTATTTTAAATGGTTTTTCTTTAATTTTCTTTCATGAATAGAGATGGGGTCTCACTGTGTTGCCCAGGCTGGACTTAACCTCCTGGGCTCAAGCAATCCTTCCATCTTGGCCTCCTAAACACTGGTATTACAAACATGAGTCACTGTGCCTGGAAAAAGTATTTTTTTTTTTTTTTAGACGGAGTCTCACTCTGTCACCCAGGCTGGGGTGCAGTGGCCGGATCTCAGCTCACTGCAAGCTGCGCCTCCTGGGTTCACGCCATTCTCCTGCCTCAGCCTCCCAAGTAGCTGGGACTACAGGCGCCCGCCACCTCGCCCGGCTAGTTTTTTGTATTTTTTTAGTAGAGACGGGGTTTCACTGTGTTAGCCAGGATGGTCTCGATCTCCCGACCTCGTGATCCACCCGTCTCGGCCTCCCAAAGTGCTGGGATTACAGGCTTGAGCCACCGTGCCCGGCCTGGAAAAAGTATTTTTAAAATGTCATTGAACTTTAAAAATCTTTATTGGGGCTGGGCACAATGGCTCACACCTATAATCCCAGCACGTTGGGAGGCCGAGGTGGTTGGATCAGTTGAGGCCAGGAGTTCGAGACCAGCCTGGTCAAAATGGTAAAACCCTATCTCTACTAAAAATACAAAAATTAGCCGGGTGTGGTGGCGTGTCCTGTAATCCCAGCTACTGGGGAGGCTGAGGCAGGAGAATTGCTTGAACCCAGGAGGTGGAGGTTGCAGTGAGCCGAGATCGCACCATTGCACTCCAGCCTGGGTGAAGAAGTGAGACTCCATGCCCCCCACCAAAAACAAAAGTCTTTATTGGAAAACAAATATTAACATTAATATTAACAACTATTTTGTATTTTTAAGTTACTCTAGAGAAAAATATTTCAGATAAAAAATATATATTTCCAAGATAAAAATTAGATTAGAAACTTTCTATGAGAACAAAAATTAAAAAATAGAGACTACTATGATCAGTGATATATTTTATTTGATGTTCAGCAAACATACACTGCTGTGTTCCCGGTGTAGCTTGATGGTGATGGTTACAACAGGAACTGGACGTTGGCACCTCTTTCGTGGTACAGTGCGAGGGACTACTGTTGACAAGCTATGATGAACGTGGAAGCTTTGGGTCCTGTGGGAGTCTCTGTGGGTAGGGGCGGGTGGAGTCTAGCCTAGTCCAGGGTGCAGGGAAAACTTTCTGGGGAAATGAAGTTTTGTCAAGAGGCAGACCAACTGCCTCTTTTAATGAGAACTCCTGAAATCCTGGAAGAACGCAGGGCTTCTGCTAAGCGCCGTGTCAACAGCAGTGTCACAAAAGAAACAGAGGGTCATTGGATGATCAGGTGCTAGAAACAAGCCTAAAAGTGACTGCCTATAATGGAGGAGTGGTGCGAATACCTAAAAAGGAAGCAACGATGTATCTGAGTCACAAAACTTCTGTATTTATATGGTCTGAAAACTGGGGCACAATGTAAATGACGAGTTAATGGGTGCAGCACACCAACATGGCACATGTATACATATGTAACAAACCTGCACGTTGTGCACATGTACCCTAGAACTTAAGTATTATAATAATAAATTTTAAAAAAAAATATTTGAAATCAGAAAAAAATGTTTTCATAAAAAATGCTTTCTACTGGAAGAGTGGAGGTTTTTGCTACTAGCCTTCTCTTAGTGACATCAGAGAAGTTGGGTCTGATTAACATTGTGTTGCATCATTCATGGAGATGAGCTCATGGTAGGTAATGGAGGCCCTGCTGAACTTCACACATTGTAAGAAAGATAATGGTTCATAGAAAATGGCCAAACCCTTTTTATATGAGTCACGTTATCAGAAGTTATCCTTTCCTGGAATTCTCTTCTTTCAATTAATTTTTTAAAAATAATAACTCACAAAAGCTTTTACTAACACATTTATGAAGGATGTCCTACATGCTTCATAAAGCCTTCCAGAAATTTCCTTTTCCTAGTGTTTTTCTCTCATGTACTTGAATAGATATGGCATCTTTTGACAACTAATTATCTGACTTTTGAATATAGCTTTTATTTACTGGGTAGTAAAACAGCGAAAAGTTAAATTATGGCACCCAATTAAGCAAATCTTTTGCTTTGGTCAGCTAAAGGGAATGGAAAATTTATTTATTTTTTCTCTACTATAACTTCTTTTTATCAGTAACTTGACAAATGGTGTCACTAAGATGGTAAGTTTTTTATATTGAAATGATAAGACTGAATTTTAGAAACTGTTAACTTTTAAGAAGTGTACATAATTGGATTCTTTTTATTTTTCTAGTTTTATTCTCATATATTCTGTATTTCATGGCTTTGCTTTTTATTGCCTTCATTCTGAGTTAAATATACAGTCAGCTTTGTGTGGAATTAATATCTAAGATGTTGGGATAATGTAAGCTGCTCCTAACAATGGATCACAATTCATTTTAAATTAGTGAGTTCATTTAAATGAAATAATTGGGTCATTATTTACATATACACAGTTGTTTCCAAATTTTATTGGGAATAAAATAATAAAAGAGTTGGCATTGACAATTTTGACATCTCTATAACTCAGGACAAGAGATGACCTATTTTCTCTCTCCTCGTATTATAGTCCCATAATTTCCCCAATTACTACTGCATAGAAACGTCAAGTTGGTGTTGAGTAGTTGGCAAATAAATGAGAGTGCTTGAATTGTAGCATTGTTCAGCTCAGAGATAACTGCATTTTATCATGCGGAAAGGATCTGTGTTGCTAAAGTGAGGGTAACACAGAAATATCAACCAAACCCACAATAGAAGAGAAATCCACACTTTTAAGAAGACTCGTCCTCTCCCCTGACTTGACATTCATCAGCCTCCTTGATCACTCCAACCTTTGCTCCTTGGCTCTGTATTCATAAGACATTTTCTGTGTTAGTTTTTATTTAGCTGATGTGAGTCGGTCTTTGCTTTTCCCCAAATAAAGTCTTTAAGAATAAGTACCATTTAAAATTATTTTCTTTTATCTCTCCCAGTCAGACTCAGCTAAATGTAGGCAAATGTAACGGCCAAATAATCTAATAACCAGCATGTTATGGAAATACAGGAACTGACTCTGTGTACTTGAAGCCTGCAATGGAACAGGCTCTGGAGGCCCCTGCTGTGCCTAGTACTCACCCTTTAGTTGCTGGATTGTGAGAATATCCAGTAAGTGCCTGAGAAGGGGCTGGAATAGCCAAAGTCAGTGGCTGTTTCCTAATCAGTTTGGAAATATTTCAATATTTTGGGTAGACTAACAACTCTAGCTATGGGAAAGCATTATGGTTGCTAGAACTCAGATGTTTCAGCCTTCAGCAGACTGTGACTAAAACTAAGTTTCCTTTTGACATCCAAATCATCATGTTGCAAGCCTGTGAAAGCTCACACATTTTTTTTTTTGTTTTTCTTCTCAGATGTCTCTGGACATGTCTAGGATGGCTGATAAGTTGGGTTCCAAAAATCCCTCCAGGTAGTGGTTCCTACTGCTGCTAAGTACCAGCTGCAGGCCATTGTACCATTCTTCAGAAGTGCTACAGGTAAAGCATCTTTTCTCAGGCACCTGTTACTCCCTCTGCACCTCTTTATTTAATGTGTGGGTCAAGCCTTGCCCGTAATTTCACAGAGTGATGGCTAAGGACAGCTTCTAGTGCTTAGACTTTATAAAAAGTTGAAGAAAAAATGGAGAAATCCAAACCTGGAAAGTGATATGACTCTTCTAAAAGTCCATTGGTTGTGGTCCCTCCTTAAGGACATTTCCAATGGGTCCCTTAGTTCTGGTCTATTGCAGGAACCAACTGCACCTACTAGGTAGCTTTTGATCAAGGCTCTTCTCAAAGCCTAAGACTCACTTTTCTGAAATCCAGAGGGAGAAAAGTCTTTTAAAAAATTCCTATCCAAAGCTGACTCTTCTATCTGCTTTACTTATCTCTTCCCACAACTCTAAGGCCATTCCCAGCTTCTAAAATTTTCTAAGTTAGGGTCACTGCATTAGTCCATTTTCATGCTGCTGATAAAGACATACCTGAAACTGGGCAATTTACAAAAGACAGAGGTTTAATGGATTTACAGTTCCACGTGGCTGGGGAAGCCTCACAATCATAGCAGAGGGCAAGGAGGAGCAAGACACATCTTCCATGGATGGCAGCAGGCAAAGAGAGCTTGTGCAGGGAAACTCACATTTTTAAAACCATCAGATCTCAGGAGACTTATTCACCATCATGAGAATAACATGGGAAAGACCCACCCCCATGATTCAATTACCTCCCACCAAGTTCCTCCCATGACACATGAGAATTGTGGGAATTACAATTCAAGATGAGATTTGGGTGGGGACACAGCCAAACCATATCAGTCACTTAGTCCTGGATCACTTTAAAAATGGAAGGCTAGAACTCTACTCCAGATTTCCCTAAACCCAACTCTGTTCTACCCTCATATTGTCTTCATTTCACCCTAGAGAAAAGGAGCGAATGTACTGCATATTCTTACTAAGTTCTCTCACAACTTCCTGATTCCAGCTATTGAGCTGCACATGTGCATGCATCTCAAAAAAAAAAAACAACTTTCAGTTAAGGGGGGGTTTAAACTCTGATTTAGGGGAAAATGTAATAAGCAGATTTGCATAATTTTGCAAAAGCTAATACCTATTTTCTAGCACCCGAATAAAGAGAGCATGATATCTGAGTTTGAAGTGCCTATGTTCAGATTCCTTCATAACTTTCAATTCTCCCCCCAAATAATGGGAGTAGTAATCGTAGATAGGAATAAATAGGACCATCCATCAGAGTGACCACTCCCAGAAAAAATGCTGTTTCTATTAGCAAAAATGACTTCCTCAGCTTCCAGATCACTCCTCCAACAAAAACAGAAGTTCCATTCTTTACCAGGTATTTTGATGAATTTGATTTATTGTTAAAGAAAGTTAAAATTGTAAAGAGAATTATTAATAGAATTATTGTCTCTCTGAGTACGTGTGACTGTGGAATAGTGGGGTCTGTAAGTTACTGATGGCCTCTAAGAGTGAAAATGTCAGAGCCATGGGGCTTTATAATGAAAACAGAGAATGGTGGGGTAGAGAGTTATGAATAGGTAAACTTGGATGGAAAGTTGTGAATAGGTAATGTGTGTGTAGAGAGTGTGACAAGCCTGTGCTGTTTTACTGCCTGAGATATATTTTAGCACATACATTAGGATGAAATTTTCAGATATTAACAGGGATTCCTGTTATTGAACTTCTTTAACTCTTTCTCATCTCTTGGGGAACAGTGGGAGCTTTCTGTAGGCACTGCCCTCAGGGGAAAGGCAGATTTGGTGAGTATGAGGAATCTTTGGTCAGCTTTGAGGTTGTAAAGCCCACAGCAGAAACAACAGTTTAGAAATCTATGCTTTCCATGTGCAAGAAGCAGGATTTTTGAAATTTTTATAATGGTTTCTATACATAGGTTTCAAAGAGTCAGATCTTGGAGGACTAAGTACAGTTTTACTTATTCGGTTTACTAAAAGCTAAAGCAAAGGGCAAAGGCAACTTGATAAACTACGCATTGGCACTCAGTCTGCCCAGCAGTGACCTACAGACACTTCCACTCATATTCCAGTGGCCAAAGTGAGTCATGTGGTCCTGCCAGGTTCAACCACGGAATGGTGTCTAATCCTCTTACAGGTAGGGCACCACAGAAGAGGATGCCAAATATGGGTAACTAGACACACAGTCTGCCACACAGACAAATGTACATTTCAGCAACGCCGTGTGGAGAACAGAGTGGGCACACCTCTGTGGACTGCTCAATCCCTGCATGCTTGACACCGCTGGAGTTCAGACCAGTACTGTGTTTCTGATTAGACCTGGGAGGGCTGAGGAAACCACAGCTTATGTAACTCCTCCTACAGAGAAATTTTCCTCTAGAAATATTTCCAGTGAGCTTCGTTTTTTTCCCACTTCTGTCAAGAAGAAAACAACCTGACAATAACGGCAAGGGGGACAGGGGAGAAGCACAAAGTCAAAATGACAGGCATGGAATGAAAGAATCAGGCCAGTAGTGATGTATGAAATGTCCTACTTTTGATTTTTCATGTAGGAAACACTTAAAATTGATTTGCATTATCTCCGTCAATATTCTTCACCCCTATTGTCTATTTCTTGTGACAGGATGGATATCCTGTCTCCCTCCAGTCTTCTGCCTCCCTATTTTCCGTCCCCACTTTCCCATGTAGTTAACACTAGCCATCCTTATATGTAGTATAAAACATAGCCTATTTACATATTAATCCAGCAACCACAGAGGACATCAGAAAACCTAAGGATGGCTGCATTTAGGGCTCAATGTAACAAGGCCCTTTGAGTCTTAGACTGTGATAAAATGTGAAGTGACATTTCGCAGAAGGAAAAAGCTTCTATTTTTACCTTAGTGTTTAGAAATGGCCCCTGGGAGGAATTGTTGCTCCATCTCAGGGCTTCCCAGATGTGTCAGATTAGAGACCCACCCACTGGAAACACTTCAGGAAGTAGTCAGCCACTCCTGGGGCTTTCCTAATGACTGGCCATCTTGTCTGAGTTGGTTAACTCAGTTGGATGCAGTGTGTGGTGTTAATTCAGTGGGGCTAATTAGACCAAGGTCATGGGTTTGGTTTTCTAGTTTTTTTGTTTGTTTGTTTTGTCTTTGTTTTCTCAGAGAAAATCATTTCTAATCTCTTATTGGCTAACTTAAAAATATGTATTATTGTCCTAAGGAAAGCAAATTAACATATAGCTGTACAAACTACAACTCACCCCTCCCTTCTATAATACAAAGAGTATTTCAGTATGTGTGATGTGCTATGAATAAGCATTAGCTGCAGTTTAGTAGGATAGGCAAAGGTAAAGAGTTTGCAACATGCTTTGGCTCATTTCAGCTGCTACTGTGCAGTGCTAACAGTGGCTATGTTACTAAGCCGTGCACTGCAGTTCAGTAATGATGATCATTGAATGTAACTGGTAATGGTCAATGAGATTTCTCATTGGATGATGCCGTCAAACCACAAACTCCTCTATATGGCATTGGTTGGGCCATCTGCTTCAGTGTGCCTGGAAACTGTGGTGTGTGGCTTCCCTTATTTCATTAGCAGCAGGTTGTTTCCTATGTGTCTGGCCTTTCTAGCTCTTCCAGGGCATGACCTTGACTCTGCACCAACTTCTAGAGTCTACCTCACTGAAACGCTCCTCTGAAAACCTTAGGCCTTGAGAAGTGGCACAATCTATACATTAATATTACCCCCCCACTTTAGTGACTGTAGCATCACATTTCGCCACGTTGTTTTGAAATTTTCATCTGTGCCATGAATAATTTGATTGTTAACCTAGAATAGGCACAACTCAAAATAATTAGCCAAATTTCCCCCAACACTTAGTATGAAACCCTTATGACAGGAGATATTTATTGAGTACTAATCTACATTGTCAAGAAGGGCTTTGCCATTTCAAGTTTCTTCTCTCTCATGTTGCATTCCCCTCTGAGAATCATCATCATTGTATTTATGATCTGGACTTGTTGTTAGAGAGACTAACTCCAACAACAAGTCGCCAAGACTTATATCTCATGTAGTGAGTTCATTTCTCCAGAAGCCAAGATTACTTCTGAGAGGTCTTACCAATCTGTTGGCCTTAGAAACCAGGAAAAACCCCTCTGTTTTGTAATCATAAAACATTTGGACACAACCAAGTCACTTAATGATATTTTCGATTAGCCTTTAAGAGAATCAGCCCAGGGAGCACTAATGCCTTGTCCTGTGCAAGGGTGAGCGAAGCTAGTGAGTGGAAGGTTGAAGACAGTAACCTAGGAATCAGGAAGTCTAGGATTTGCTGAATCTGGCACAAATCTCTTTGTGCCTCACTTGGCAAAGTGATTGATGCATGTAGTAGTTAAAAAATTAGATCTTTTCCTTAAAAAGATTCAGAGAATAGTCCATCCTTCTTATCCACAGATTCAGCATCTGTGGATTCAACCAACTGTAGATTAAAAATATTATGAAAAAAGTAATATAAATTACAATACAGTAATTAATAATACAAATAAAAATGCAGATAGCATTTACATTGTATTAGTTATAAGCAGAGATGATTTAAAGTATATAGGAGGAGATATATATATATATATGTATTCTTAACAGTCCTGAAACCAATCTTCTGTGGATACTGAGTGAGACTGCACTGAGTAACCGTAATATTTAATATGCTTTTATTTTGCCTTGTTAGTAGACCCACCACAAAAGCCTATCTGATATTGTTGATGCTTGGCCGTCAGCAAACACTCTTCTGCAAGGGCAGTGAATTACCATGCTCCATTGCTGTGTTACTCTGTTTTCACACTGCTGATAAAGATATACCCAAGACTGGGCAATTTACAAAAGAAAGAGGTTTAATGGACTTACAGCTCCACATGGCTAGGGAGGCCTCACAACCATAGTGGAAGGTGAAAGGCACATCTCACATGGCAGCAGACAAAAGAAGAGAGTTAGTAGAGGGAAACTCCCCCTTAAAATAACCATCAGATCTCATGAGACT